AGAAACTTGAGTGTACGACATTCCTTCATCCAAAGATGGAATATGCCATCGGATCAAAACAAGGTCAAACACCAAAATTATTTTGAAATATTTTTTTGCTGTGAGAGTGTTTTCGTCAAAATTATTTTGAGGGGGGGTAACCCATCAAAATAATTTCCAACCAGAAATTATTTTGGTGATGGTTAGAGTCTATAAATCTATACATCCAACATGTTAGGTTTTTGAAATTATTTTCAAAAAATTATTTTGGAGGGTAACCCCCCCCTGAAATAATTTCATTAAGGTAGGAGGGATGTAATTACCTTGGCACCCGTCGGCAGCCAGCTAAATTCATCTAGAATCTAAATTCACTGAAAAACAGCATTTTTGCAGGGTTTTGGCATGTTCTGGGCAGGTGCCGAGGTTGCCCGCCTGAATCCCGGGACTGGATCCGGACTGGATCCCGACTGGATCCATGGATCGGCAAGAACCCACTCCCGCACCACCTTTGCCCCTTCTTGCCGTGCACCAATACCCCCCCAAAAAAAACGGCAAAAGCAGTCCTGAGCCAAACAGTGGTTTCTAAAAAGTATGTGTGATGCGGTGTTGCCAACCGCAGCTGCTGCAGCTGGAGATTTCATTCGCACGTGTTTGATGTTCATGCAGTCATTTTACCAGCCTTCATTTGTTTGCTGATCCTGCGCCCGACATTTGGGCGGGTGTAGCACTGACTATATACATCCGGCGGTCGCAAAAATGCTCAGCAATGGCTGGCTTTTTCAGCTTCACTCTTCTTCCCTCCTCCTACCTTCAGAAAACATGCTGGGTCGAAAAGACGAGGAACGAGTCATTATAATCACTATATTCATCCATCCTGCAGTTAGGCAGGCTGCATCTGCACTGCCTGGTGACTTCCCAAGACATATTGGCAATTATGGCAATTCACATAGATTCTTGAGACATCTTGATATCTGAGGATGGTTGCCTGAGATTCTGACGGCCTCCAATCTTTTTCAAAGCCTTTTTGTTTCTTGCTTCAGCTTCACCTGGCAAGTACCTGGCATGTACCTGGCACGTTTTCATCAGTACCTGGCCGAAAATTCCTGGCACGGCCTGGCATGTCATTTACGGAATCTCATGGGGCCGACTGGCCGACTTCAAGTTGGATATTGTTGGATCCATTGCCATTGATCTGTCCAATCTCTACGTAAGAACACCCTGACAGCCTTCATGATCATGGGATCTCCCAGTGGATAGATGTGGTGCATGGCGCAAGGATGTGCAAGAAAACCCCGGCCTTTTCCATGAGCTGATTTCATTGCCAACGGTCCATCAGCCTCGGAAATCAGACATAGCTGAGGGGTGGCTTATCCTAGACACTTGGCATGTGCAGAACCACGATGAAAGGAGTTAAACTAAACATAGTTACATAGTTAAACTCTCCCGTTAGCCAAAACTTTGGCGGTGTTCAAGTTCTCATCATTTTATGAATGCCACTTGCACTGAGCTCATATAGGCTTGATAGGCTACCAGCCTCAGCCGCACCAGCCCCTTGATGAGCTGGTTGGGCCTCGGCCATGTCACTTGAACAATTGCAAGGCTGACCATTGTCATACTGGTCCACTATGGATCACTATGGATCACTATGGATCACTATGGTATCCGCACTGTGACCTGAGCTGGCCACCATCACCGAAATGGCCTAAGTAGACTAAGTAGACCAAGATTTGGGACAAATGAAGATGCGAACCTCCAAGTAAGAAACTCCATCGATCTCCAACGCATCACGTCCAGACTTGCCACGGCTGCACAAGACATTTGGCACTGTCTCCCAAGGTACCTGGTACGCCAACGTCTCCAGGGCTTCAAAGAACATAGCCACACCAGTGCGGCCACTGGCTTCACAAACAGCAGGCCTGGAAGACTACAAGAGGCATTCAGAATCGTTCACGAAGTTCGTACGGACCCATCAAACTTGTAGAATGCTTGAAGAGTTTAGAGGAATTGACAGGAATTGATACTGAGCGCATTTGAGTTTGACCCATATGGGCGAAGGAGGAGCTGAATCAAACTAGGCACACGGCCTCACAGGCGGCCGTGAGGAATTCAGCACACCAGCAATGCTGAGCATTTGTTTTTCTGCTGATTTACAGTGGTCAGAGCATTCCAGTCCATTTTGGATCTTTCACGCAGCCGTGCCATTGGTTAAAGCGGCTTCATCTCGTAATTAGATGGGGAAAAATATGTTTTTTAGTCATTTTGCAATGCAGTCAAACTATTTGTTTCAGTGGATGAAGCCGTCATTGAAAGTCATGATATTTCTTCAGCAGATCGACAAGGCATGACATCAATTCTTTGGGAGAACACGGCAAAATTGTTTGATGCCACATCCATTGCTGGATCATTGAAACTTGTAAGGCGGGCAGCCAAGAACGTTATCAGCCCCCCCCCCCAAAACCCCCCCCAAGAAACAACAATGCGAAAATCAAGAGTGTCTTGCAAGTTACAAGAAGAAGTTGATAGCGTGTGCCAGGGTACGGTGCAAGAGAAGAGTGGATAGCGCAGCAGCAAGTCCAAGAGAATATCTTGTAAGGCGGGCAGCCAAGAACGTTATCAGCCCCCCCAAACCCCCCCCAAGAAACAACAATGCAAAAATCAAGAGTGTCTTGCAAGTTACAAGAAGAAGTTGATAGCGTGTGCCAGGGTACGGTGCAAGAGAAGAGTGGATAGCGTAGCAGCAAGTCCAAGAGAATATCTGTAAGGCGGGCAGCCAAGAACGTTATCAGCCCCCCCCCAAAACCCCCCCCAAGAAAACAACAATGCAAAAATCAAGAGTGTCTTGCAAGTTACAAGAAGAAGTTGATAGCGTGTGCCAGGGTACGGTGCAAGAGAAGAGTGGATAGCGTAGCAGCAAGTCCAAGAGAATATCTCGTAAGGCGGGCAGCCAAGAACGTTATCAGCCCCCCCAAAATCCCCCCCCAAGAAACAACAATGCAAAAATCAAGGGTGTCTTGCAAGTTACAAGAAGAAGTTGATAGCGTGTGCCAGGGTACGGTGCAAGAGAAGAGTGGATAGCGTAGCAGCAAGTCCAAGAGAATATCTCGTAAGGTGGGCAGCCAAGAACGTTATCAGCCCCCCCAAAACCCCCCCAAGAAACAACAATGCGAAAATCAAGAGTGTCTTGCAAGTTACAAGAAGAAGTTGATAGCGTGTGCCAGGGTACGGTGCAAGAGAAGAGTGGATAGTGTAGCAGCAAGTCCAAGAGAATATCTTGTAAGGCGGGCAGCCAAGAACGTTATCAGCCCCCCCAAAACCCCCCAAAAACCCACGGCCGTCTATAAGCCGTGGTCCAACTACCAGGAAGTATATGGAATCAACAGGGAAATTGATAGTTGTTACATGATGTTACATGATGTTACAAGGTTTCGGGCCCAGTCGTCAATGCTAATACATACATGCTAATACCAGATGAAAGATGATAAAAGAGCAGTCTTATAGCCAGTGGCCTCAGTAGTTCACCAATGATCCAGCATAGATGGAGCACCAGCAAGCGACCTGGCGAATAGCTTGCGATGAATTGGAGTTGCGCAACCTGGAAACCTTCAATCAATGCACGGTTGCTCTCGGCATGAATCAGAACTACAGGCTTTCATGGAGGTCTGAGCTGTAAAAATTGGTCAACATCGCATTCTGTCTCTTTAGGATTCTTCAATATTCTTTAGGGTTCTTCAGGTGGGTATTATCGATCCTCAGCCACGAGATGTTGCAGTTGAGATTGTGTGGAAGTTGGTGGAAACCCGTTTTGGAAGTTTGTGGGATTTGGATTGTACGTGACCTGCAAAACTAGACCCCTGTAAAATGGGTGTGCGAACATGTGCGAACAACCTCAACCGCAACCGTTTGTAGTTGAGGATGGTTGAGGTTCTGGTTGAGGAACCAAAACACCTCATCAAATCCAAATTGATCCAAATTGATGTTTGCCGACAGGCCCAAACAAAAGCTTATTATATTATCAGCACCCTTCGCCTTGGTCTTGTCACTGACTGATGCAATACAAACTGGCACACCCGTGCACGACCTTGAACATCCAGGTGAGTTGACACAGCGTGCACGACCTGAAGGCGTCACCCTCGTCAGCAAATCAGCATCAGTGCAGCCGATAGCGAGATGTGTGATTTCTGCCTCTCTCTGCAGGGACATCAGGAACTCTGGCCATTGCTGAAAGATCGCCTGTGACATTGAGATACACTCCAGCAGCTCAGTAGTACCGCACCGCGGCACATCATGGCGCTTTGTGATAACTTGTGACATCTGCAGGTGTCCTGGAGAGTGTCGATGATCAAGGTGTGAACCTGAGGAAGATCCCACTGGCAAGTACTGCATATATCTGTGTATATATATATTAATATATTATATTTGCAGAAAGTGCGCAACTTTGCAGAACTTTGCACTCCGGCTGAGTTCAAGAAGAAGTCCACCGGGTACAACGATGCGAATCGCTGCAGCAACAATGGAACCACCTGGCGAACCAAAGCTTTCCGATAAACCACAGGGCGATCTGCTTCGCCTTCTCGATGCATTCAGGTGGAGCGTTCGTGAGCAAAACCTCAGAGTTTCACAATGATTGGTCGAAATTGGTCAAAGTTTGACCTTCAATGCGAATATATGGGAATACTCTTGCTACGTAGTGATTTCACCATATTTCACCAACGATGTATGTGACTATCAGGGGAGCCTTTGGTATCTTTATGTATCTTTTGTCATCTTTTGATAGCCGCAGTTGCTACTGCTGCTACTGTCTGTTCAGACCCTGACGTCGAAGTATACTCGCAAGAAACGGGGCACCAGCTTGCAAACACTCGAAACCTCAGACACTCAAGGTACACATCAAATCTACAGAGACGCTTCGAAGTGAGTCATCCAGTAAGAAATACTACAATACAAGACAGTACAAGGGTTCACGAGAGAAAAACAACCACAACTGCGCGCAGCCATTGACATTTAAATATGAGGGATGCATCTTTTTCATATTGCGCACGCTGAGCACCTCCTATGTACACTGCCAAAATGCAGCTCCTCACCCACAGGCAGTGGGTCTGGAGTATGTGCGACATCGCACAACTAGAATTTGCGTCCATCAATTTTGTTCCTGGGCATGTTCAAACGAAGCCATTCCAATGCGAAAGAGGATGAAGGTCTCACACTTTGAAACATTGAGAAACTCAGATGCAAAATGTGCCAAGAACGCCAAGATTCGGTTTGTAGTCTTTGACCTCAGCTCAGTCATGTTTCAGCTATTTGCACGTGCAGGTTTTTGGCATTTGCCGGCCTTGCTGCATCTTGCCACAAGAACCCAAATTGTGGCAAGGCGCCAAGGGCGCATTGCTTTGGCGCAGCCCACTGCAGCGAAAGCATTTCTCGTTGCGAGGAAAGTTGCGCTCACCGCACCTGAGAAAAGTAGGGACAAATTTATGGAAACAATCGGAAACGACAAGGGTTGCGCACACTGGCAAACAGCGTTCAAGGGGCAAGCAGCACGCAAGGATACGTGAAACCAATACACTTTGTTCATTGCGATCTATGTGAATTGAGCAAAGGAATCCTTCCTTAACAAGCATCCCAACATCTTCCCATCACTCCTAACCTAATCTATCCGAATTGTAGAACCTGCCAAATGACATCTAACACATTCTAACACCACATGCGTTTGGCACTACTGTGTTGTGTGATACCTCTCGTACGCTCTCACTCTGGCTCCCTCCGTCAAAAGCAGAGGCACGGCTCTCCATTCGCCTTCGAGCGCAAACAAATCCAGTCTTTGCTGGTGTCTTCACCGTCCTGACATGGCACACACCAAAAAAAAACGGTGTCTTCACATTGACATGTCTTCACACTGAATTAGTGCCATCAACAAGCACCATGTGACCAGGATGCCGCAGGATCTGCCACAATCTGCCACAAACTAATTGCATCCTTGTATTTTTGCTTCCGTCCATCCTTATAAACCTGAGGATCGGCGCATTTTTTGCATGGCAGGTGATGCCACACTTCGATGCACTCTGCGTAAAATGTCTCACAATGAGCAAAAAAGAGGCTTCTTGGATTTAGACCTCTTCATCATCTTTTCGCTCAATGAATGAAAATGCCCCGCAGTTCAATCCCAAGGCCTGGGGGCATGCAGAACACAAGGCCATAGAGTAAAGGCCAACGACAAAAGCCATCATCCAGCCACCATCTTGCCAGCGCCATTTTTCGAGTTTCTGCCGAGACTGTCTGAGACTGTCTGAGTCAACAGCCCGCTGGATTCTAGCGTCTGGATTTCTTGGATCGAGCTCCTGCTTTGGCTGATCAGCTCTGGCGAGCTATGAAACAAGCTAGTGATAACCTAGGATCCTTCTTTGTGCACAACCTTTCATCCAGGATCGTGTCGGGTGCAGATTTTAAAAGTTGCGCGAACCCCTCCCCTTCTATTCAGCTCCTTCCCAGATTGCGAGAAACCCATGTCCATGACCTTCGCAGCTTCGCACCACTGATTACATTCCCAAATATGGCACGCAGTTCAGCATGGCAAATCTTGTTGCAGATGGATCAAGATGGAGCTGGTATGGCATGGTATGGCTCATGGCCCCTGGGCTGAGGCTGATACGAATGGAATGCTGCTGGACTCGGAGCTGGAGTCACTGGAATCGCTGCCGCTCCTTAGTTTGTAATGAGAATATGATGACTACAATCTACTGTAGGGCCTGGGGCTATGGTAGCCAGCTCTTTTTGGTCGAGAAGGAAGAAAAAATCACTTGCAAAATCCTACAGAATCTTGCAGAGTTGCTTGGCTTTCTTCTTTTTGGCTGCTTTCTTTAGCTTCTTCCTCAGGTTTTGCAAGACTCACTTGGACCGCTCGAGCTTGAGTAGAAGTCCACCAGTAAAGAAACTTGACATAGACTTTGTAGAACGCACTGAAACCGGAGTGGAGTGTCAGCTTCTTGGCGGCTTTCTTAGCTTTCTTGGCCTGAAATACATAACAGCATAGGCCGGAATTGGATGCGCAGGAGCATTAAGAAACCAGGCGGGAGCAAGTTCCATTCAGGCACCTCTTTCTTCGCCTTCTTCTCCATTTTCCTCATCCCGGCAATAACAGAAAGAGCCATGCAAAACAATCACAGAACACCCGAGCACAGCCAATCATGGCCACACATTCGATAATTTGGAAAGCCAAGCATCTTTAATTTCTTGGCCTTTTTCTTGTCATCCTGCGCTGGTAATGGGACATGCAAGGCAGGTGCAAGTTGGAGCATTTGTCTCCCTCCTCAACAGCTTCTTCATTGACCACTTCTACCTGCCGGGTAGCAAGTGGGACAAAACTCTCTCCCTGGCGTCACCACTCAGGGAAATGTTGGGCGCTAAAAGTGTGTGAGAAATGTGTGAGAATCTGAATCGATGCTCTTTGTGATTTCTTGAACTTGCAACCACTCAATTGCTTGTATGTTCAAGCCCCAAAAAAAAAACTTTTCTTGAGCAAAGAAAGCGAATTGTGGCTACCAGCAACGGCGCTATCGAATATTGCCTCTGTAGAGGATTGTTGATGCTGTTAACTACGGTCACAATGCCACAACACCGGGCCTGGGCTGCCTTGCGGTCTTTGCGCTTGACGTCTGGGCTTTCCCCAGGCGATCTGCCTCAAAGCTGGCAAAAGCCGTGCAAAGTCTCTCTGCTGCTTGCCACGAGTTTGTTTATGTTTCCGTGATAGTGACTTCGATCTTCAAAGTAAGTATACAGATTCTCTTCAGGCATTCCTGGCGGACCTCTCTTTGAGCTCATTGGGCCGGCGGCTTTCTACCTACCAATGCGATGCGAGTATTCAAACCGTAGGCCAGACTCATGGAAGCAATGTTCCCATGGGCACAAAAAACATTGCCAAGAAACACTCAATGAAACATGATCCGCGCCTGCCTCTGTTCTCGCAGGATAAAGCCATCCGGCAACAAGCCACGAAGGGTCAACAAATGGCGTCTGTTTGATTGGTTGTCTGGCTGTCTTCAACCTGAGGTGCCCGAGGTGTATAGGTCTGACATGTTCACAGTTTAGCTTCTGTAGTTGTGCTGGAGTGTCTTGCTCACTGAACCATCGATCTTGCTGCTCGCGTCTCTTGAGCCAGGAAGAAGCCACCGCTAGACAAAGAGTACATCGACGGTTCAATCAAGAAATATTAAGCCCTGATTTTGCTTGACGCCTAGAAGTTGAAAAACTAAAGCAAAGCACTTGGACAGACCTTGGGATCTCAAACCCGAGGCGTAACCGGCAAGGAATTCCATAGAACCTCAGGTGTGGCAAGGGCTTGCTCCCGCTAATGCCCAAACGCTGGGATGCAGGATGTCTGAAACATTCTGAAATGTTGTCACAGTCATAGCTTCAAGACTTTAACATCATAAGTGCAGCTAAGAAATACTAAGAAAGCTTCCCGAAACATGGAGAGCTGTGCTTCATCACGTGTCTCCCAAATGCAAACCTCAGATCCCAGGGCCCAGGGCATCATCACCCATCGTCACTGTAGCGGAAGCTGAAGCAGACCCCAAAGGAGACCCCAAAGGAGACCCAAAACCGTAGTGAATACTACTAAATGTTGGACTGCATCAGCAAGTCAGCAAGTCAGCAAGTGTATAGCGTATTTGGCACCAAGCTCCCAATCCAGCTTGATTTCTCATGATGTACCTGGCTTGAAGGAGTGGAGCACAATTCATCTATGGTTATCATGTTTATCCACCTTTATCCACACAATGACTTGCACGTGCTGCTGCAGGCTCTTCAACGTCTGAGGATTTTTCACAAATCACAGCGGCACTGGTGGACTATCTTGAAGGGTGGAGACCTGGCTTCTGTGGCATTTGTGGCAGGCACCAAGTGACCAACTGAGAGCTTGCACTGAGGCTTCACATCCCGTTGTATCCTTTGTGCAACGCTGTGCTTCCGGCATTCGGTCAAGACCCAAACGCATCATTTGCGCATTTGTGTGGGGCTCCTGTGCTAAGCCCATTGCATCGTGGCTTTTCAGTCACAGCCAAGGACACACCAAAACTCGACGTGCTGCTGCTGCACTGTCGGAGTGGCTGCAGACGGTTGCCTCGGGCCTCTCGTACTGCTCCATGAATGCGGCTGTCCTGAGTGCGGCCCCAAAGCTCGTCATGATTGGAAATGCAAATGACCTAAGATATTCTTTCCCACGCGGCCCCAGGAATCTGAGACACTAGCAATGGAAGATCCAGCCTTGTCTAACGTAATTATCTCCATCATGGCAATCCAACACACATCTGCGGCCTCTCTAATGGTTTGATCTATCTTGGATCGAATCAATACCAATGCAAGTCATGAGGATCCAGCAAAGTGTGGAATAGCTCGGCGTAAGAGGATGGCCCTGTTTTTGTCCATCTTCAAGTCATGATGCAGGAGTAAGACATGGATTAAGCCAAGTATCCAGTACGTATCCAGTGCGTAAGTGTCTTGAACTTTTTGCGCCAGCAAAGCGCCAAGCTATGCCAAGCTACAAGTTAATTCACAAACGCGCTCCTTGCAATTTTGCAAAGGTAGCTGCGGAAAACTGCAGAAAGCACAGCTAAGAAGCACTGGATCAGTGTTGCTTTTCCTGTGGGCGTGTCCAGAGGATCCTCCAGTGAAAATGGCGTAATACTTTCGTAGCTCGCAGGGTGCTTGTCTTGCAAGTATGCCAAAGAATGGCTGAATAATCTGAATAGCTGAGAGGGTAGGAACATCATAGATCTTTGTAGCTGATGCCTATCTGGCCTATCTGATGGCAGGCCTCTCAGGCTTTGATGCAGCATTGATGAAGCACTCTGAGGCCTGGCTGGGTACTGCAGCGGCTGCAGCAGCTGGATGCTGCATGGCGCTGGTCCCGGTTGGAATCTGAATCTCTCACGGCCCTGCCTCGCATGCTGTGACCAGCTCTGCCCGCCGGCCTCAGACAATGTCTCTGAAGGCACAGGACATGAGTCACATGAAGTCATATGAAGTTGCATGTGAAAAGAGGAGGTTCTATGATACAATACACTACATTCCGTTGTGTCAAAATGTATATAATTACCGTATATAAACGGAACATATCTGTGTATCTGTCAGTTATATGCATATAGTATCATAATGTATCATATAGTCACTATAGTCGTACATGCGAATTCGATCGTCTTCATGGATATCATGGATACAGGATACACTGTGACCTTCCCATCCCGAGATCCGATGGCGGAGTGTGCCTTTTTATGCCGAGCCAGTGGCTGGTTCGATCGCTGAAGCTTTGGAAATCTGTGGAATCACAATCATCCACCACACATAGGGCGGGTTCATCCAGACTGGGCGCTCCAGTCGAATGAAATTGGCCACACCCGCCCGTGGTCTTGTTGCCTTAAAGATGCCTCAACAAAACTCGTTCAAAAGACGACTTGGAATGACAAGCAGAAGACCCTTTCTAAATGTGACAGTTTTCTTATATTATTTACATTTATTTACATTCAAAATCAAATGGCGGGTGGCTGGCCATGTGTGTGTGGCGAGTGTATTAATCCAGAAAGCACTCCGCAAATCCGTGGCATGACCAAAGCAAGTGGAGGAACCCTCAAGGGTTGCCACATGTTGCCACTTTGCCGCTGCCAGGTGCAGTTCTGATTTGTTCATCTTTCCTCAAAATCGAAGTGTGAATAAGCATGAATGAGCTTTAATGAGTTTTGTTGTGTTTTGCCTTTTGGCCTAAACTCTTGTGGCATCTTGTGGCATATCTCGAGGTCCTCAGAACACAAAGACGTGCGATCTTAAATGCCACTTCCCCCGGTGATGTCTATGTCACATTGTCCTGCTCAGACTGTCGACCTGAAATGCCCCACAGGTTCTAGCCTCTCGGGCGCCATACAGATCGACAGGCAAAATCTTTTCAATATGCTTACACTTCAAGTTTCGTATGAACCCCTGGCATACTGGGAGTATTTAACCTGTACTACTTATCTATGTCTATGTATCACTTTTGCCAAGCCTATTGTCTAGTCTAGTATCATCTGTGAGCATGAGGGGACTTGAGAGAAGTTGGAAGCTGAAGCAATAGAATCTGTTTCGGCTCACTTCTTCAATCTACAGCTCGGCAGATTTGCCAACGCTTGCATGCGAAGGGGACGGTTCCGAGGAACGCGCAGGAGTGCCCGTACAAAATGCCGAAGGAAATGATACCAGCCACTATCCAATCTGCTAAGTGTGCACTCCATTGCGCTACCAAGCGAAAGAACCAGCAAGCATGATCAGCGAGCTGTACATAATGCCAGTGGGTCAAACCAACCTGCAACATATCCAACATGTATTTTTTTGTCAATCAAGAGGTATCACCGTCGATCATTGGCCATCATGGGCCGCATGGTCACCAGCGGATGACTTTGACCCACAGCCAATGAAGCCCTTGCTCCAAGACCCAAGGCTCGGGTGTTCCCTGGGCGCACCTCCATTCCCACACTTTGGAAGACAAGTGTTGAGGCATACAGATTCATACAGTCATGTCTTAGTCATCTCATGTCATCTCTATATATCATATAGAGCACGTCGACTCATGTCACTGGCCAAATTCACTGTTGAGCATATTGGAACCATTTCAGATTCAAAACCTTCGAACTTCGACCCTTTTCCCATTTTTGAGGATCTGAGGCAAAGCCCATCAAAGCCCATAATCTCAGCTCTGCGAAGTCGTCAAATGCTTGAAGCAATCCTCCTGCGGCTGGCGGAAAGTACTCCCTGCAAACACAATGCCCGTTTGCCGTATATGCCTTTTATATGCCTATTTTAATCTATTTTATATCCTTTTATGCCAATATGTGTGCCACTGTGCTACTGTGCTGCATGCAGTGTGAGACGTCAAAAGCCTCTGAGATCAGCATGGATCACATCAAGTGGCCTGGAACGGAAAAGATGGAGAAAGCATTGACGGCCTCAAGGACCTCGGTGGTCCTGGACGGCGCCAATGGCGCGAAGGCTGTGCTCTGGAGATCTCTGGAGGCACAGATATCTCAGAATAAGATCAGATAAGCACAGTTACTGATGTTACTGTTTTGCTATGTTTTGCTTATTGGACCCATCGGACCTATCGACTTTTTACGGGCCTTGTATCAGCGCTTGGATCAGCTGGCTTGCAGATCTTGTGCTCCAAGACCCATCATATCCTACACGGGGACTTGCAGAGAAAAAGCCAAGACTTGAAACGCTCCTGCAACACCAGAAGCATCCAGAAGCCCACCCACCACCGGAACATCCGGAACCTCATATACGGTGAAGCTTATCTTGATACCAGCTGCCTGGGCAGGACAGGTTATGGCAGGTTAATAGGTTAGACTTTGACAAACATGACCTTGGAATACCTTGGATTCCTTAAGCATCACCCAAAATATCCCAAAATCCAAAGACCTGGGAAGCTCTTGGGGTCAGGCCATTGTCAGTGTCTCGGGCACGTCTGATTTTCCAACCTGTGCTGGGCACAAGTGCCATCAAGTGCCAAGGCTTAGGAATTTCAATGACAAGTCGACAAGACATATCTCTGCATCAATGACGTCCACGCCAAGGCACAAAGATTTTCCCCTCGCGGCGGCCGGCATCCTTGTGGTCGATGGTCACATCAGGCTTGATCCAACCGAAGGAGTCCTGCCATGTGCCGATAGGTCCGATAGATTTGACAAGTGACATCAACTCGCAAAGGTTGGTAATTTGAGCACACGAGCTGACACAGCTACAAGAATCATGCTTTCAAATCATTGAAATCATTGAAACATGCTATGGGCATCTGTAGAAAGTCGTGCCTAATGTGCAAAGCTGAGAAAAATTCAAGCAAGATCCTTCCACTCCAGGACTTCTCCAGTAATGGGCTCGGTAAGCACAGGCTTGCGCGGGAGGTCAGAACCTCAATCGCAGGTGTCAACCTAACACAGGCACCACGCAACAGCAAACTGCGCAGAAATTCCGCAGAGTGCAGACAGGGCAGGCAAGTGGCCTTTCGCATTCCACCTCGGTTGTGGGAAGTGCAAGATAGTGCAAGGGTATGTCGATTTCAAGTGAGGCTGCAGTCTGCAAAACTTGCTGCTTCCAAGCGTCCATCCGAATGACCATGGGCCCCAAAAATTTCCCTTGCCCTTGCCTTTGCCCTGGCAGCATCGTGGCTTCAAGAAAAAGAGAATTTGAATGAACTTTGTTGGGCGACGTTCGCAGTGGAGACGGCATAGTCATTCTAGGGTCATTCTGGGTCATTCCTACATTCTTATGCCAACATATGCCAACTTATGCCAACTTATGCCATTCTCGAGTATTTTGAGAGGGAGTCAACGTCCACGGAGGGTTGGATCTGAAATGAACAGCAAGGAGTCGATGCACGGAAACTTCCAGGCCTTCTCGCCCTTGCCCATCCCTTTGGGCTTTTCAGACTCCTGCATGAGTTCGGCGTCCTCACGTGGCGATTTGAAATGCGCAACCACTTCGGAAAACGTGGCCGATAGGCTGTGCCCATGATCAGGGTTATTCAGGGTCCTCTTTGAATCTCTTTGAATCTCCTTGAATCTCTTTGGATCTTTGAAGTCGTTGGGATATCTTCATATATATCTTCAGTGTCTTTGTGACAGTTTCCATGTCCACTGACCCCAAGACACTTTGGGATCAGCGGACGCCCCTGTGAAACCAGCAGAGATGCAGCTCGTACAGTAGTAGGGGTCCATGGAGAATCATCATTCTCCCCGATGCGTTTGACCGGGTAAAGTACATGTTGATATAACCATAATTAAGTTATTTAATCATATAACCATATATTAAGCATATAAGTCTTTACCTGCAAGGCTGGATGCATGGTTGCCCTGTGACCTGAGAACGACGGAAAACGCATCAACATCCGTCCTGCTTGATGGATTCCAATGCCATCTCTGCAGCACTTTGCTCCGCCTGACATACCATGCCAGTAGAGAAAGCAAAAACATACCGTGCCAAGTGCTGAGTGCCAAGAATGGTTTCTGGCAATCTCTCTCCAAATTGAAACGCTCCGGTAGAGTCTGGTAAGAGTATTTCAATATCAAAAATCCAGCTTGGATGGCTAGCCATTAGAGACGGTTAGAGCTTTACAGTGCAGCACGCAGCGACGCAGCACAAGAGTTCTTTCTGCCTTCTGCTTCGTGTTGCAGACCTTTCCAGTGCGATAGTTGGCTCATGGGTCACGTGAAGGCACCATGTGTTCGCCATGTCTCCAGACACAGCAGACCTTTTGTCACTTCTTAGTCTTCTTATTTCAGTTTGTCATTGTTGCAAGATGTCTCAAGGGCAAAGTGGGTTGTGCTGATTTGTGCTGCAAAGCGACATGACCGGCCCACATTCGACTGCCCCACTCATCCGGCAAGGCCGTGATCTTCACTGTAGCCTGGCTATGGAGGCGAGGCGGCGAGGCGACATCCTTTTGACATCTTCACAGGTCACACGTCCCGTCCTGATGCCCACCACCTGCATAGGTCTTGGTCTCGTAGACGGTTTCACCCTAACATGCTGCAACAATGACTACATTGGAAAGGATGAAACAGGGGGGAAGTCAAAGTAATACCAACTACTATGTCAAACAATCTATCTGCATACTCAAATCCAATCAAATCTATCGACAGCAATCCAGAACCTCACTCCTACATATGGGAAACAAAGCGCATCAGAAGAGTGGATGCCCAACTTGGTCCCAATGACTTCGGGGTACTTTTATATCGTATCGGAATGTCACAAGCGCGAAGGCCTTCTGCAGGTAACGCTTGACTATCTTCATCACCAAGGCCTTGGCAGGGAAACAACAAATATCAATATAGTGTCATTTATAAGTCAGCGTCTACTGAAGTTGCAACTGAGAGTTTGAGAGCTAAGAGGGTGGCATTCAACAAGGTCTTTGGAGTGACAGCAGGGTTTCCTTCTTCCTCCTGCTTTGCCTTGCAGATCTTGCTGGTTTGCAAGTATTTTGGATATTTTGGACATGATAGAAACACTGGAGGGGCTGTCCTGTGCTTGCAGCTTGTCCGATGACATGTTTTTATATGGCATGTTGATGCATATTGTATAATGCTATGTCTCATACGTTTATCACAGGTCTATCAGATTCCGTGCCTTTCTCAGGGCGTGCTCCTCTGGTGTCAGCTTTGTCTGCTTCTTTTTCTTCTTGTCCTGCCGTCAAACATGCGCAGAAGATCGCAGAAGTATCAAACATCTGGAAAATCAGGAACATGCTTCAACGACTGAAACCGTATAGCTAGATCCCGACATAAACTGGCAACTGAAAGACACAAATGCCAAAAATAATAAGCCCAAAGAATATCCCCAACAGCAAGAAAGCAGCGGCCGTAGATCCCAAACAGTAATTCCATATAAGCGTGGTAGTTTTTGCTTCATGACCAAGCAATGCAGTGCATTTTTGCGCCGTCCTGCCCGCCGGGCCCCCCTCCTACTACTACTGCTGCTGCTGCTGCTACTGCTACTGCTACTGCCACTGCCACTACTACTACTAGTACTACTACTACCACTACCACTACCACTACCACTACCACTACCACTACCACTACCACTACCACTACCACTACTACTACTACTACCACTACTACTACTACTACTACTACTACTAGTAGTCCTACTAGTACTAGTACTACTACTACCACTACCTACTACTAACTACTAACTACTAACTACTAACTATTAACTACTAACTACTAACTACTAACTACTAACTACTAACTACTAGCTACTACTTCTTCTACTACTTCTTCTACTACTACTACTGCTACTGCTACTGCTACTACTTCTACTACTACTACTACTACTACTACCGCGGGTTACGCGCGTCTGCGTTTCGCGCGGGTTCCGCATGTTATGTGCGTCTGCGTTTCACGCGGGTTCCGCGCGTGTTGTTCTGCACGGGTTCCGCGCGCGTCGTCGCATGCAAATTTCTTCAAGAAATTAATACATAACGATGAATATTACTACTATTTTCACTAATTATAGTTTAATCAATATTACGATTATTATCATTTCTACTACATCTGCGATTTTATTACTACTACTACTACTACTGCTACTACTACCACTACTACTACTACTACTCCTGCTGCTGCTGCTGCTACTACTACTGCTGCTACTGCTACTGCTACTGCTACTACTACTACTACTACTTCTACTACTACTACTACTACTACTAGTACTACTAGTACTACTAGTACTACTAGTACTACTAGTACTACTACTACTACTACTACTACTTTTACTAGAAGTATTAATGGCACGCGCGGGTTCCGCGAGTCTGCGTTTCGCGCGGTTTCCGCGCGTTATCTGCGTTATGCGCGTCTGCGTTTTGCGCGGGTTCCGCGCGTGTTGTTTTGCGCGGGTGTCGTGCATGTAGTCGCATCTAAATTTCCTAAAGAAATTACTATATTACGACGAATATTACTACTTGGGAACCTTGACATAATAACCTTGGGGGACCTTGAGAACATTTACGTGGAAAACTTGGGAACCTTGAGGGAACCTTTACAATACAACCTTGGGAACCTTGACAACCTTTACTTGGGAAACTTGGGAATCTTGAGGGAACCTTTACAATGCAACCTTGGAAAGCTTGAGGAAACCTTGGCAATATAAAACCTTGGAACCCTTGAGAACCTTTTACAATGTAACCTTGGGAACCTTGAGGGAAAACTTGGGAACCTTCAGGGTTTGAAGAAACCTTGAAGGAACCTTGAGGGTACCTTGAGGGAACCTTGACAATCTAACCTTGGGAATCTTATAGAAACCTTTACAATGTCACCTTGGGAACCTGGACCACGTTTACTTGGGAACCTTTACATAATAATCTTGGGAACCTTGACAACCTTTACTTGGAAAACTTGGGAACCTTGCAGGGAACCTTGAAGGAACCTTGAGGGACTTGAGGGAACCTTTTGGGAACTTTTTTGGAACCTTGAGGAAACCTTGAGGAAACCTTGCGGGAACCTTGGGAACCTTGGGAACCTTTACTTGGGAACCTTGGGGGAATCGGTTTTGGAGCTGCTCCGGTCTGCTCCAAAACCTTTACTATGGCTGAAGACCCCAAAGCTTCTGCTGTTGGGGAAAAATAAAAAATATCCAAAAATATCCAAAAATATCAAACATGTCAAAAACATGTCAAAAACATGTCAAAAACATGTCAAAAACATGTCAAAAACATGTCAAAAACATGTCAAAAACATGTCAAAAACATGTCAAAAACATGTCAAAAACCTGTCAAAAACCTGTCAAAAACCTGTCAAAAACCTGTCAAAAACATGTCAAAAACATGTCAAAAACCTGTCAAAAACATGTCAAAAACATGTCAAAAACCTGTCAAAAACATGTCAAAAACATGTCAAAAACATGTCAAAAACATGCCAAAAACATGCCAAAAACATGCCAAAAACATGTCAAAAACATGTCAAAAACATGTCAAAAACATGTCAAAAACGTGTCAAAAACATGTCAAAAACGTGTCAAAAACCTGTCAAAAACCTGTCAAAAACCTGTCAAAAACCTGTCAAAAACCTGTCAAAAACCTGTCAAAAACCTGTCAAAAACATGTCAAAAACATGTCAAAAACATGTCAAAAACATGTCAAAAACATGTCAAAAACCTGTCAAAAACCTGTCAAAAACATGTCAAAAACCTGTCAAAAACCTGTCAAAAACATGTCAAAAACATGTCAAAAACATGTCAAAAACATGTCAAAAACCTGTCAAAAACATGTCAAAAACAAAAACATGTCAAAAACATGTCAAAAACCTGTCAAAAACCATGTCAAAAACATGTCAAAAACCATGTCAAAAACATGTCAAAAACATGTCAAAAACATGTCAAAAACATGTCAAAAACATGTCAAAAACATGTCAAAAACCTGTCAAAAACATGTCAAAAACCTGTCAAAAACATGTCAAAAACCTGTCAAAAACTGTCAAAAACCTGTCAAAAACATGTCAAAAACATGTCAAAAACATGTCAAAAACATGTCAAAAACATGTCAAAAACCATGTCAAAAACATGTCAAAAACAAAAACATGTCAAAAACATGTCAAAAACATGTCAAAAACATGTCAAAAACCTGTCAAAAACATGTCAAAAACATGTCAAAAACATGTCAAAAACATGTCAAAAACCTGTCAAAAACCTGTCAAAAACATGTCAAAAACCTGTCAAAAACCTGTCAAAAACCTGTCAAAAACATGTCAAAAACATGTCAAAAACATGTCAAAAACATGTCAAAAACATGTCAAAGCAGCACCGAGGCTTGGCCGAGGCTTGGCCGAGGCTTAGCCCAGCATTCGCTCCTTGTCCACAGGCTGCGCCTCCTGGAGAAGGTTACTTTGGGAGAAAGCGATGATGGCCTGCTCTGCCGCGGACCTCACAGGGCAAAACACGTGGCCCGGACAAGACAAGTGAAACATAAAGGAAAAAAACATATATTCATATATATATATAATTATAAATATGTATAATTATAATTAATTATATATATATGTGTGTGTGTGCAAAGCAACGGCAACAGAACATTCAATCATAAGATTGACTGAATACAACTGAATAATTACATGTCGCCACCTCTTTCGCCTGAGGACCTGACTTCTCAGCATCCTTTTGATTCAGGACCAGGTGTCCAGCATACTCTTGCCCTTGCACACAGTCAAGCCTCACAATTGCTTGATACCTCGGCTCCGGCTCCTGCCAGTTGACGCAGAAGTCGCTTGGAACTTAGAATAGAACATAATTCTGTGGATATCTATGGATTCAAATCTTGTGCTCATCTTTGACTCTACCCCTTTTCCATCATGAGCCGGACGCAATTCACAAAACACTGCTGCAGAACTGGTACCAAACACTTGTTGAATCCTTATAACCCTTATATTATATATATATATTTATATTTATATTTATATTTATATATGTTATATTATATATATATATCTATATCTGAAACGTATCCCAACCGCACCGACAAAAACATCAGGTGTATATGCCTTGAGTGCAAGCCAGGCACCTGTTGCCAAACCTCAGGCTGCACAGCCACTCAGGTGAAGCCATGTGATTCAGAAGATGGTTGAACATGGTTGAACATACAGTCACCGTAGTTGAACATGGTGGGACCCTCGCAAAGAGCAATGACGTGATCCTCCAGTGGCGATGTGGTTTGGATCCTGGGAGTGCAGCTATTCCCATTGCCAAGTAGCTTATTGGTAGTGTAAGAGATATCGCCTCAGACCATTGCACATCAGAGATGGTGAGGTCAGGAGACATGGTTCGCAGCATAAGCCAGCAAGAAAACATGATACCATATGATACATACGATATAATACGATACCATACGATACCCATCAGAGGCGAGGAACAAGAAACACAGGTCTTGGGTGCAAGGTGTTCACACCCCTGTTCACCCAGTGTATGCAGTGAGCAAATTTGGAACCAAGTTACTCTTGGTCACAGGCCGCTGGCAGAACTTCTGGCAAAAATGGTTCCTTCAGCAGCAGGTTTGTGACATGATTCAGGCAAGGAGATTGAAGTGGATCAAAGTGGTGCAGAAAGAAGAAACAGCATGTCATGCAGTTTCCACAGTCCTTTATCCAGCTCATGTTCAACTACAATGACTACAATGTGACAAGGATCTACAAGGTGTCGTGACATGTCGTGACCACATGCTTGGTCTGCTTGGTGTTTTGAATGCTTGGCCAGGAGTCAGTTGAGTCTTCGGATCGACGGAGGACGGGGCTGCTGCTGGGGGCGTTGCCATGAGGTCGAGCCTAACCACCGGAATCCGCGATCGTGGCGCCTTGAGCTTTGGGCTGCGGCACCAGCTATCATAAGAAAGCAATCAGCAGAGTATAGCAGAGTCAACATGAGTCAACATGAGTCAACATGAGTCAACGACTCAAGACACATCAAACACTCGGGACATCTCAGGACACATGACAAATCCAAAAAGGACTCTTTGATCTGCTTTGCGAAATCTTCTGCCTCTATTTCGTGGTTGTTCATGCCACGTTCGGTCTATGCTGTTTTCAAAATCTTCCAAAGAAAGCTCCATAACGCCGAGCGCATTTCTTGCTTGACTCATGGCCATGCAGATCAGCACTTCACTTTTTGATCTTTTTGGGAGCTGGAAGGTGCTGCATCATGGCCGTTGAGTTCCGGAATCAAAATGTCATGGGATGCTCTTGAGGCACCCCCGATCCCAGATCGGCTCATGGCGAAACCTGCACGAAGGAGACCGCAACAAAACGCAACGAACGAGTCTGATTTTAATCGGTCGCCAACAAGGACTAACAGTGACTCTCTCTCTCTCTCTCTTCGATTTATTTCCACAGAATCAACAGCAAACTTGCTCTGCAACTTCACTTCGGCATTTAGCTTCGCCCAGCTCTGAACTTGCTGTCCAAGAAGACTGTGCAAAGTAGCAAGTCTGTATTGCATCTTCAGGCTTCAGACATTCAAACCGAGAAATATTGAAGGATCATTCAGCACAAAGATGTACAAAGGGATTCAATGCCGCAACCCTACATGGCATGTTTGCATACTGTTGCAGGAAGACCGTGCCCCGCGCAATCCCTGAGTGTCAACCACCCACCCGGCGTTTCACGTCTCTTTCTCCCCATTGGATCTCGGCCAAATGCATCAAGAGGGAGTGTATGTGGGCAGTTCAGCTTAACTATCACTATCAGCCGCTATCAGCCTTGGGTTTCACCCATAATCGCATATCAACGTACCGTTTGACTACTTCTTCTAAAATTGCAGTGGGAGTAGTGGACATAGCTCCATACACAGCTGCTGCCCCTGCTGGCTTGTAGCTGGGATTGCCATCAAGGAAGGCAACAGTAGAGCACAAATCTTCTTCAAAAGAATCTAAAATCTGGGAATGCCTCTCTCCAATACAGATACCCAGATAGGGCGGATTCTGTCCAGTTGCTAGGTTCCAGCCTTTCTCTTCCAAAACAGAAGCGACAGCGTAGATGTTGTACTTATTGGAACCCACTGGAACAATGCAGGAGTGGCACTTGCAGAGCACAAACCTTGGCCGCACTTGTTTCGTCTTGACTCTTAACTCGCTTTGCCTGCTATCTGCGTCATGCGGTTTCTGCATTTGTTGCACGTAGGGATGCAAATTCGTGATGGGTATGCGAGTGCATGCGCCGGTACATACATGCTTGGATTCATGTTTAGCTACTCACAGGTGCCCATTTGCATCTGAATTAGCGGTCCTTTTGTACATGTATATCCAAGCATTCACGAACACATATTTGTCTGCATATATGCTGATGTTTTCAGGTATGCATGTGTTTGCTTGTATGTGTATGTTTTCAGAGTTTCCTGCATCCTGTGCAATCTAACCATTGAATAGGTGTTTTCCTGGACATTTTGGTCCATGCCTGCATGTGCATATCTACCCTCTGGTAATAATCAAACGTGGCAACGGAATAGCATCTATTAATTATACGTAGATGATTCTTCCATGAACCCCCTATTTGCAAGGGATTTTCCCATTGCCACGTTTAATTACCGGAGGCATCCGGAGGCTACACATGCACCCAATGCAGATCTTGTGTGTGTGTCTGTCTGTCTGCGCGCGTGCACTCACCTGTTGTTTGGATTGGCTGGATGAAATTGAAATCATTATATAAGTGATTGGCTAATGCGTGAATTCAAGTCAGCAACTGGATTCAATTGGACTGGCAAAGCTGTACTGCCAGGTAGCTTGTCTATCCTGTGTGTGTGTGTTTGTGTGTGTGTGCACGCGACTACTGATGACTACTGATTACAGTACTGGTGCAGGTCGACTTGCAAATGCGTTTTTGTTCGAAGAGTTGATAAGAAACAGCACGACATTACTGGTAATCAATATATTAATTGATATTCATACATTTCACATTGTTCAAACTAAAAGGTCGCAAACTCGACGTACAAGACGAGTCACAATCCTGGGATGCTATTCACAATTTCTTGGCATCTGATGTGGGACTTGTGGATTTCAGCTGCAAAGTGTTCATAACCTGCCTGCCCAAAACTAAGCATTGTTGCCCAGGCTTGAGCAATCACTGCACCCCCCCGAGCTCCTTGCATAGTTGGCGTGATGTAAAGGCCTTCGCAACCGTCCGTCACGGGGACATATGTTAATCTCCGCAAGTTTTGATCCCGAAACGCCACGACGCTGACGCCTTTGGATGCATTGCCATACTTGTGAATATCCACGCTGATGGATGTCACACCCTTGGCTCGGAAGTCCCAAAGTTGATGGCCTGGAGTTAAGTTCTGGGAGTCCAAATATGACAAAAGGATTCCTCCCAAGCAGTTGTCGACGTGCAGGCCAATACCCTTCGACTCTGCTAGACGTCCAAGGTCCTCAACATGATCAATGACTCCATGAGGAAAAGTTGGTGCAGATGCATAGAGACAAACGACGTCGCTGGTGATATGTCTCTTGACAGCTGCAGCAGTAAGAGCAAATCCAGTAGATGCATCAACTTTGATCTTCGTCAACTTCATTCCAAAATAGTGGCACGCTTTCACAATGCATGGGTGACAGGTATTGGCTGCCAGTACACGAGGGGTGGCGACACCTCTTTGCAATCCCAGTTCTCGGTAGCTCAACGCAGCTAACAACACGGACTCTGTGCCACCAGAGGTCAGCAAACCACACGCGGACGAAGTGCTGCCTGTGCTGCCTGCGCTTCCACTGTCTGCATGCAGGAGATGCAGCACCCAGCTGATCAGCTCCGCTTCAAACTTCCGAACTGAAGGGAAAACGCCCTGGCAATGTGTAGCATGCACACGCATGGACCGCTTTCATTTCAACATATCGGATACGTGAAGGCCTCATGTGAACAAAATTTTGACTGACCGTGCCTCATAGAGTGTGTTGGAACAGTTGTAGAGGCTCCAAACCCGATTTTGCAAATCCACTAGCTCTCCATCTGGCGAGTGATAAATGCCAGCCCACTTTTTTGCAACGCCAACCTTAGAGTTGCTCACTATATTTCTAACTATTAAAAAAATGAACCACGGCGAAGTGAAAGACTGGCAATATTTCATGAGACCAGAGTGTGAGACAATGGCGTCAACTCTCGGCTACTAGTAAGGGCCCGCAAACAATAAATGCATGCCCATGCCAGCCCATGCATGAGCAATTTATGATAATTCATGCATATATTAAGCTAATATATTGGTCCAAACTGAGGAGCGTAGACTGATGCTTCTGCTGCATGAAGTTCTTGGATCTGGTGCCAGATTTCGGAAGAAGACATGGCCTGTCACGGTGGCATATGGTGGCATGCATTAAACAACATTAAACAACCATGGGCCCATTGAACTTCAGATATCTTCAGATCATCTCAAATCCACAAGAGACCGTCGCTTCGATGAAGGATATCTTCCTACCCGAACCTGGAGGCCTGCAACCAGCAAATAATAAGCCCTGCCTCATGTGGCAGCGTCACCATGGCTTGTGAATCTCCATTTCCGTGCATCTTCTTCTCGATTGCTGCAAGTTCTTTGCCCACTTCACGGTCCACAATGCTGCGCACATATGGCAAGCTGCAAGCAGCAGCCAAAATGTGTTTGGAAACGTGCGCCAGCATGCCACGTAGACCCTTTTGCCATGACTCCATCCAACATGCCCGCAAGGAGTGCAACGCCAAAGCTGCACAAAAGGCTGACCAGGCTGCATTGACTCTTGCATTGCGAGAGATGGACCACACAGACCCGGCCATTTTCCGGTGCACCGATCGGGGCAGCAGCAAGGTCAAAAGCGCCCAGAGCATCGCTCGGCTTTGAGGCGTCATAGCTCTCGAGATCTCTTAAGTTCCACCCTTTGTGCTTCACATTGCTTCACAAGGCCCGGCATCTAAGATCCAACTTGAAGTGTCTGGTTTTTCTATGTGTTTCTCTTACCGTTATACGTGCTGTTCAATCATTTTGAATATGTTTAAAGTGCATCTGTCTACATATTCATGAAATTATATATTCCATTATGATATTATCCAGTATATTCCCATGTTTGCTCGGCAAAATGTATATTTTTTAGTCAACTTGGCCTTTGCTGCGGTTTCCTTCATGATGGACCATGATTTTAGTGACTACTTGAGCCGAACGGACATCAAACTGGTTGGTATCAAGCTTGCAAATATTCGGAGCAGAGGGGGCCATCTTGACCGGACAAAAAAAATATCGCCAAGTCGCCAAGATTGATCAAGATTGTAAGAAATTGCGGTGCAGCTAGCTGCACGTCTTTTCTAGATCACCAGTCTTGATTGACAAGTGTCGAGACAATTTCCGAGACACAAAAAAACAGGTCATCGGTAGTTCGTCTCTTACCAGGATGCTTGGATACCCTGAGATCACAACGTCTTGCCAGCTGCAGGGGTGGTAGGAGAGGACGTTGCTGGGTGCGCCTCGAAGTTCATCACCGCCGTGTACATCAGTTGTGCCTCGGCCACAATGCCGAAGAAATCAGAAACAGACCTGAGAGTGTTCACCTTCACAAGATCTGTGAACAAATATGGCAAAGATCTACTGGCTCACAGCTGAATGCTGCTTGATCTTGGGCATCATGCATCAGAAATTGGAAACTTTTTGGGTCGCGCAGCTGAGAGGGTCATCTGCGCCGATCCAATCGGTCATGTCCTCTGGAGTATTGGGCGGTGGGACGTCTATCAGCTCTGTCACCATAGCTGGAGACAGTTCGACTGGAGCGGTCTCTGTCACTGTGACTTGGTTGCACGGCCAAGGAATTTCGGGCTGCGCCGCTGCGGCCAGTGGCCGGCCGGTGTGATGAAATCATCACAACATCATCGTCCCCTTTCTTTGCATCATCGTCACCACGACGTCTCTTTTCTGATCTCTCATCACCACCATTTCGGGGAGCATCTGCCCGCCGCTTGTGATCGCGTTCCTTTTCTTTGGATCTGCCTTTCGTCTCCTGGCCCCAGGGGACACGGCGGAAGAACATGGAAGAAGATCGAAGAACATGGAAGAAGGGTAAAGATAGGACACATGCGGTGATTTTGAGGAAATGGCATCCATCCATCCCACCCCGCAGCCATGCAGTGATTCCAATTATTCAGTGGCGTTGGAAGCTTCAGTTGCATTGACCACATTGCAACATTTGTTGCTGCTTTTGGTTGCAGCATCCGACACCCACATTTGATTCATTGGTCTGTATCCAAGTAAAGGTCATGAAGAACAGAGAAAGGATCAGCCCTTCACTTCTCTGCATCAATCCACTGAGCTGGGTATGTCTTCCTTAAACATTAGCATCAAAAAAAACATCAAATAATATGAGAGATGCCTCTTGCAACAAGTTGTCACACGCACACAAAGCTACTGTTGATTTTGACCATCTAACATCATCCAAATATTTCTATATAAATATTTCAAATTTCTATATTTTATAGAGTATAATATGCTTATGTCTCAACATTGGAGTGAGAAGGTGTACAATCGACAAGTTTTGAGGCTGAACTTCTCCTGCGATTGTATGCTGCCGCCGTGAGGAGAGCTATCTTGATTGTCTTAATATAACTTGAATATTCAGAAGCTAGCGAAGTACCACCATATTGGCTTTCTGGTTGGAGATTTCTGGGTGCGGTTTCTTGCAAATAAGATCAAATAAGGCTGGCTCCCTGAACCCCAAGTAAATTCCCCCCATTTGAGCCAGTTTGAGCTCCTGCTTCTGCTCCTTTTGTTCTTTGGGTTCTTTTTCCTTGGGCTCTTCTTTTGGCTTCGGCTTGGCATCTTTCGTCTCCTTCGGCAACTCTTTGGCTGGCGGTGTGGCTGCAGGTGTGGCCGCAGATGTGGCAGTAGGTGTGGCGCCAGGTGTGGCCGCGGGTGTGGCCCCAGGTGTGGCCGCTGCAGTCCCTTCCTTTGGTGCCCCCTCTTTGGGTGCTTCCTTCGGTTTGGCCACACTCTTGGGAGCCGCCTTTTCCCTTGCCTCCTGCTTCACCCATGTCTTGCTGCATGCCTTTAGCTTCACAGCCAAGGAATTTGCCAAAGTCTTTAAGTCACTTGCTTTCTCTCGCTCGCGGACATTTTCCACACAATGAAGTACACCCTTTGCAAATTTCTCCGCGACAGGGCAGCTTTCACATGACTGGCTCAGAAGCAGCAAAGCGTTCCTCTTGTCTGTCCATTCCTCAGACTCCAAACTAATCTTCAAGGTTTTGTAGATTTTGCCCTCCCACTTGCTGTGAGCTCGCACAATTTCACTGTGCTTTGCAAACTCAACAGGGCCGTCCAACTGTGTCTCATCATAGTGATGACGATGAAAGCATGGATTGTCCTTCATCTCTTGTTCATAGGTTTTCTCACTTTGCTGCAGGCTGAACACATACGACATCATTTCTCGAAGGATAATGCCACAAATCTGGGCCTCCCGCTCTGTGCAGCCACGCAAGTTCATACACAGCAGGAGTGTCCAACAGTTGAAGAAGTCCAGGAACAAAAATCCAGGTGTCTTCATGCGAATCAGAAGGCGAACAAACTTGCAGCAGAACATGGCATCTGCATAGGAGGTAAGTGCCCGAGGCATAAACATCTCCGCCACCAGTGCTTGAGTGGCCTCTTGGTCTTTCTTCAGAAACCATCCAGACTTCTCTAGCTCAAGTCGCGCCAAGACTTTCTCAAAGTTCAGCTTTTGCTGGAGATGCTCCTCCTTCACCTTGTCATACACCTCTTTTTGACGCACAATGTTCCTCTGCAAAGTCTTGTAGTCCCGGCTGTGGTTATCAAAGTTGCGATTCCTCTCCATTCTGGCCTTGGTGTCCTCGAATTGCCTCTGACTATTCATCATCCGAGATAGGACTTTTTCGTAGCCATCTGTGGGGACGAAAATGTCCTGCAAGGACAGGCGCCAGAATGTGACGTAAAAGTCCATGGACAGCCCATCTTCCTCCGTTGACCTTGTCAAACATTGCTGGGCGACACCCAGCAGTTGCTTGTGCAGCTCAACCTCCTCCGGTGTAGCAACCAAACTTGCCTTGGCGTCGGCTTTGGATGCCCCACGTGCAAAGGGTGGCAGGCCGGGCCGCAGAGCTGCATAGGCCAATGGCGGTTCCAAGACACCAAAGATCTGCTGAAAGGGAGGCACCAATTTCATGTACTTCTCTCTGGCAGCAGCTTGTGAGATGAAATCGATGAGGCTCAAGAAGCAGTCTTGGCTCCCGTCAATCAATGCACAAAGCAGCTTCAGGGCGCCCTCACCACTGTTCACCTCAGAGAAACTCTCAGAGAGGAAGAACAAGCGTTGCTTGCTGAGGCAATCCCACAAGGCTGTAGCCAGGCCCAACTCAACAAGGCTATCCATCAAGGCTTTCCTTGTCTTCTCCTTGCGGAGAGGGTCTGGCCTTGCACCTACCGATACAGATTCCAAACGCAAACGTGGGCCACCCGCCAAACACAGCAGCTGCTCTGCCGTCAAGTCCTTCACAACGATGAGGCCTCCCATGTGCTCCATCAGCTTCTCTAAGACCACACGGATCAAGGATTCACCCTTGAACTTCTTGGACGATTGTCGACCACTGCCTGCACTGCCTGCACTGCCTGCACCTTCTGGAAGATCACTCATCATTCGTCGACATACAGCTGTGAGGATGCCCACCAGGTTGGTCTGCGGGTGCTTCTTGTAGAAGCGGCCGATGAATTCCGCAAAATTGCTGAGCCATGGTGAGAGAAAGCCATCGGCTGGATTCAGGAAGGTCCGTGTTTCCGAGGCGCCTCGCTCACAGTTCCGAGCCAGAACATAGCCCACCACGTCGGTCATCATGTCCGAGCAGCGGCCAGTGAGGTCAACATAGGGCTGGATCATGTTCACATTGAAGCCGATCTCAATGTCCTTCAGCATGACCTCCACAATTGGGATCGGATTTGTTTGGCAAAGCTGACAGAAGACAGGAGAGGGCTTGTATGCATTTGGATCATCTCGGTCTCGATCTGACTTGTCGCTGGAAACCACCCGCTTCAGGATCTTCTTTGCCTCAAACTTCGCTTCCTCATAGCTGTACTTCAGCATGAACTGACTATACCTTGTTTCCCAACAGCTGTAGATCATGTACCGCTGGAAGATTGTCAGTTGTCTCAGCACATTCCATGCCATGCTGCTCAACCAAGGGTTTGGCTTGGCAATGGAGATTGCTGGCAGCAGATGTTTGTAAATCATGGCCACAAGTCGATCATCCAAGATCTGATTTGAAGGAGCAGCACTGTGGGCGGAAGCAGCAATGACAGGACTAGGCCCCGGCGGATCCTTTAAGGACAACGCCATCACCTGCCAAAGGTTGCCCATGGCCACATTGTCGGTGTGCAAGTAGTACTCCAACTGGTCCAACACCTCACAAACGAACCCCAAAAAAGGATCAAGAAGGACCAACACTCAACAAACAAGTCAACACAAAAACACAATTTAAAGGCAGATTGGCAAATAAGGATCGGCAACAAGATTCAAACAAAGGAGTTTCAAGAGCATGAGACGAGCTGCAGTTTTGGCAAAAGTGCCTTTTTTCTCTCATTATGCGTTCTTGGTGGCCCCGCTTTCGTGTGGTCTGCACATGTCTGCACGTATGTCCCAGGTCAATCAGGATAACCCCCTTCTCTACTATGGTATGATCTGCTCTTTAGGGCCCTGACAAGCATCCCATTTAGATCCAATTAAGGGGTGGTATATTTGGATCGGATATGATAAGATGATATTCCTTGATACCTAGATTGCCTAGCTCCCGCCTGCTTGGTAGCTGATGCAAAGTCGTTGATATCTGTGGCTTGCGGGAGGCACACGGGCACTGGTCCTTCGCTCCCTTGCAGCAGCAAACCCCAGGCAAAGCGCCTACTGGATTTGTATGGCGGGGAAGCTGTTTTCGGCAGCAACGGCTGGATGATCCACTTGAGCAAATCGCAGAGTGCAGATCTCAGATAGTGATTCATACATGGTCTGCAAATCCGCCTCATGATTGTCAGCATAATACAGGCATTCCGCCAGTCATTGATGCTGATCATTGCCTCCACCATACGGATCTTTTTGTTCAAGAGTTGGTTGAAGTTCTTCACGGAAGCACTGAAATAGCGTTTGTCTTTTGCTAAGTTGGATTTTCCAGAGAGGTCAACCACCGAGATGGTCTTCAGCTTTGCTTCATACTTTCTTTGGAGCAGGTGGTAGGCCTCCTGGATCTTCTTCTCACCAGGTTCCAAGTAAGACCAGAGAGTCCGAACATCAATGACATTGATGGAGATCAACGAAGCTATGGCCATGAACTGCGAGAGTCTCGGCTCTGGATCAAACTTTCCATCTTTGGCGTCCTTGCCATCCTTGACATCCTTGGAGCCTGCAACAGGGGAAGCAATGCTCACGAGGAAAGCGGCTATCTTTGTGAGTCTCTCTCTGCTAAACCTCCGCAGCAGTGAGACCAATGCTTGTGGCCGTTTGCTCGGTTCCTCCTCTTCCATCATCAGCTTTTCGTAGATGTCGATGGCCATTGCAATGATGCGATTGGGACACAAGTAGCTGTGGCCAATGAGAAGCATAATATCTTCAATTATGCTCTCTCGAATCTTTGTCAGCTCATCGCTGTCACCTAGGACATCACAATCTAAGTGAATCAGCCTGTCCATGTACATGATGACTCGAGCATAGCCTTCGTTGTGTTCCCGCAGCAAGTTGAACCTTGTCACTGTGTAGCGAGCTTTGGTCTTTGCCTGGTTCTGCTTCTTCCGTAGAAGTGACATGTTGCAAACCGCAGGAGGGAGTGTTTCAGTTTCCAAGCCCGCGGTTAAAATGGGTTTGGAGACCACACCCTCTCGTTCCAAGAGGCAACAAAAGTTCGTGAACTCATCACGAGCTTCCTTGTTGCCTGGAACTTCAGTGGCTGCAAAGCCTCCCAGCCAGAGCGCATCAACCAGAACTTGCTGCAAGGATTCCTTGGAAGAGATGGGCATGAGCAACTGCGCTGCATTTTGCGCAGGCATCTGCTGTTGCAGGACAGCAGTGACCACCTCCAGCAATTGGTCATAGATTCGCTCCCGCTCTCCCTCTCCATTGTCTATCTCCATGGCTCAAGGGTTGGTAAAGATTTGATAATTCAGAATTCTGAAGAATTGAGCATGTCGGAATGCACTGCGCCGTTTTTCCCATGGTTTTCTGTGAATATGGATTTGTCAGTGTCGTATGAACATATATCACTTATCCACGCGTTTTGACATTTGCTAGGTATTGCACGGTATTGCTAGGTCATGCTAGGTCCATCTAGGTCCTGTTGCTGTTGGCCTGTCATACATCCCAGCATGCAGGATTTTTGGATTCCAGGTTGAGTATTTTCTCCATCAAGGCTAAATTGGTGAAGGGGTACCGGGTACTGGATCTGCAGGTCAAGCACTGCCTTGCGATGTTTTCCGTTCCATGGATCTGCAGCTAAACGACTAAGGTTTGAAACCTGCAAAGGCCAAAAATGCATGATGAGAAATGCATGATGAGAAACATCAATCACTCTTTGCAATTTGGACATGGCGACTGGTGCAGCTCGGGTGGTTCCCAACATTTCCCAACTGTCTTGGTTCCGGTCCTTCCGTTTGCAACAGCTCTTGGGCCGCACGGTGGACCCATGCCATTGCAACTCGGCCAGTCATGGAACGAAAGGCCAAAAAAGAGCCATACAAAATCTCACCCAGAGCAAAACAGAGTGCAGAATTTGATTTCTAGTGATTGGGTTTCAGGAACCTCATGGCAGCTCGCCTTGGATTGCCCCAGTGCAAAAAATAAAACAATATCCAGGCAAGAGATCTCAAACAGTCTTGAGGAGAACGTCTACTGACAAAAAAATTGACATGATATCTAGCATTCTACCTGACACTTCTATCTGACATTCTGTCTGGCATTCTTTCTGGCATTGGGTCTGACCTTCTATTTGGCATATCTTCTGACATTTGATTTGGCATTTTATCTGACATGTTCTGCGGCATTTCTATCTGGCGCATTCTATCTGACATACATGGCCATCGGGTTCGGGTCCAGCGTGCCCCAGATTGTCCGTGCCCCGGAAATTGGTGATCTCGCCATATCCTTCGGGTCCAGCAAGCTCCCAAAGGGCCCAGGCCCCCACAAGATCTCCCCCCACCCGGACTCCCAAGAAAATCTCATGATGTTCTTCTGGAGGGTCTTCCAAATCTTTAACCTCCTCAGAGCATCCCATAAAAGCTTTCATGCACTGCAAGCACCTCTGGCAAATGGATTAGCAAGTGGCATCTGAAGGATCTTCATGCTAGGACCCTCTGCAAGATTTGACCATGATCTCTGCAAGATCTTCCCACAACTGCAAGATCTTCACCAAGATCTTCATACCAAGACCACTTAGAGAATCTGACAAGCAGGACTTTCTAGAACACCTTGCAGAATCTTTGGGCAAGAACCTCCACAAAGGATGGCACAAGAGCTTTCAAACACGCACCTTCCGCACAGCACATGGCATCTTCAAGATCTTCATGCAAGGACCTTTCCAACGATTTCACCACAAGGACCTGTACAAGATCTTGGCCAAGATCTTCATACCACTCTAAGCGAATCTCACAAGACCGTCACAGCTCCTCAGAACAGCCCCCAAGAACTTTCATAGAAGCCCTTCTGATACAGGGCATCTTCAAAATTTCATGGAAGGACGTCTGCAGGGATATGGCCAAACTCTACACGAGGTCTTCTTACAAGGACCTCAAAAAGATCTTGGTTAAGAAACTGAAATGAGCACCGCGCCACAACCAGAGCAACCCACCACGCACACATTTACCAAATCCAAGAATGACGACAGTTTCACAAAACGAACCTTTCGAGGCTTTGAAAAGATCTTTAAAAAAAATGATCGAACATGTCCAAGTTCACCTTATATTGCGCCTGCCACGGAAAACGACCTCGTAGCAGGCCTCTAGCGACTGGACTTGATATACACTTCATCCACTTCCTTCGACTTAGTGTTGTAATGGGTGGATTTCCGACATCAGAATGTTGCAACAAGAGCGAGTTTCCAACAAGAGCGAATTGAAAAACCGCTGGCTTGGAATCTTATCCGCCTAAATTATCCTAAATTGCTACTGTTTATAGTCAACTCCTCTGGAGGATCCTTTCTGGTCGCCAGGAGTCATTTCAATCTTGGGACAACTTAATCAGTTCGTCAATACGGTCGAGCCAAATCACTGCGATAGTGGCGCCTTGAACTTTATGCTGCAGCAACTCACGGGGCGGAGCCACTGTTCCAAACCAAAAACGCCGTCAAATGTCTTAAAACTTAAAACAGTAAAACCCAAACTTTCATTTTGCCGCCTGTTGCTTCATGTTGCTTCTACATCGGCAACTTTTCTAGCTAACATGATTGATTGCAGCAGCGATGATACCATGCGATACAATGCGAGTATGCTTTGATATGCTTTGATTAATGGTGGTGCCATGTGGTGCAAAAGCCCAAATCATGCAGCGCAAGAGCACCTTTCTCAGCTGGCAATGCTCCTTCGGTGAGCGCCAAAAGCATCGATCAGCTCATGGCGAAGCCTGCCTGCACCAAAGGGATGGCAAGAAAACATGCTCGACGTCGACAACGCGGATTCATATGATTCATCCACAGCCAGACCACAAACTGAAACAGTTGTGCAGGTAACAAGATGATTCTAAAATGATAAACCCTGGCATTCAAACAAACCTTCCTAAATCCTTCCGCAGCATGTGCACGTGCATCTTGTTAAAATATGTTAAAATATGTTAAAATATGTTAAAATATGTTAAACTATGTTAAAATCTAGTTAAGTTCAGCTGGAGGTTTAGGTTTGCTGGTGGAGCATCTGTGCGGGGCAATTGGGGGGCACGTCCCTAATGCTTCGTCCAGCTGCAGGGGTGGTAGGAGAGGACGTTGCTGGGTGCGCCTCGAAGTTCATCACCGCCGTGTACATCAGTTGTGCCTCGGCCACAATGCAGAAAAAATCAGAAACAAACCTGAGAGTGTTCACCTCGTCACCTTCACAAGATCTGTGAACAAATATGGCAAAGATCTACTGGTTCACAGCTGAATGTTGTTTGATCTTGGGCATCAAAATGCATCAGAAATTGGAAACTTTTTGGGTCGCGCAGCTGAGAGCGTCATCTGCGCCGATCCAATCGGTCATGTCCTCTGGAGTATTGGGCGGTGGGACGTCTATCAGCTCTGTCACCATAGCTGGAGACAGTTCGACTGGAGCGGTCTCTGTCACTGTGACTTGGTTGCACGGCCAAGGAATTTCGGGCTGCGCCGCTGCGGCCAGTGGCCGGCCGGTGTGATGAAATCATCACAACATCATCGTCCCCTTTCTTTGCATCATCGTCACCACGACGTCTCTTTTCTGATCTCTCATCACCACCATTTCGGGGAGCATCTGCCCGCCGCTTGTGATCGCGTTCCTTTTCTTTGGATCTGCCTTTCGTCTCCTGGCACCAGGGGACACGGCGGAAGAACATGGAAGAAGATCGAAGAACATGGAAGAAGGGTAAGAATAGTAAGTTGGTAAAACGGGAGAAAATTTCAGAAAGAGTCGAAGCAATGGGATGGGTATTGCGATGTCATGTCCAACATGGAAAAGGAGGAGCAAACGCCAAAAAAATACCAGACTCCGAACATCTCCAAACACTGAGAGGGGTAGGAAACCAAAGCGCCAGATACAAGCAACAGTAGCTAATGGACATCGTTTGCCTTGGGTCAAGAAGCAACGCCTCACACCAGAACTTCACATCAGGACACCTAAGAGAACTTCAAAAATTGTCAAAGAAGGCCCCTCTATATAGAGGATCTCACAAGATCCTCATACAAGAACTTCCTACGAGCATCCCAGAAAAGCTTTCATACAAATCATACAAGCACCAAGGCAGCAATATGCAGCAATGCGCAGCGTCTTCACGGTCTTACTGTGAGGACCTCTCGAGGAGGATTTCAACAAGATCTCCACAAGATCTCCACAAGATCTTCTGACAAGGATCTGTACGAGATCATGCAACGACCTTTTCAGGATTTCACCAGGAGCTCCACAAAAGCTTTCCACAAGGAATTGGAAAAGACCTTGACCCCTACGAGAGCCCACAAGATCGTCATACTGCTGCAGGTACTGGAGAAGATCTTACAAGAGCTTGGTGCAAGAACCTCCCAAGAGCATCCCAAAAGAGCTTTCATAGAAGCACCTCTAACACATGGCATCTGCAAGATCTTCGCGCAAGGACCTCTCAGAGAGGATCTCAGCAGGATCTCCACAAGCTCTTCTGACAAGGACCTGCACAAGATCACGCAAAAACCTCTTAGACAGGACTTCAAGGATATCCAGAAGATCTTCTGAATTCTTCTGATAATGACCTGTGCAAAATCATGCAAGGACCCCGTAGACGATGCCAGCAGGATCTTCACAAGATCTTCTCATAAGGACCTGTGCAATTACTGCAAGGACCTCTGACAGGATTTCATCAGGATCTTCACAACATCTATTCACAAGACCTTGGTCAAGATCTTCATCAAGTTCGCATTGCAAGATCTTACAAAGATCATCAAAGATCTCAAAAGATCTTTTCACCCAGATCTCAAAGAATCAGCTAAAATGAGCACCGCGCCACAGCTAGAGTGCTCCGACACGCGCAAAGCGCTGAAAGGGTTGCACGAGCGATATCAAAATTCGCACCGCAGCACAACGAAAGCGACCGCACATAGCGCAGCGAGGGGGTGCGCGAGCGATATCAAAATTCGCACCACGCCACAACGATGGCGATCCGACACGCCCAAAGTCACGAGGAGGGTTGCGCGAGCAGATGTATGCAGATGTTATATTTTCACAAAATCACGAAAGATGAACATTGAAAATGCCGAAACATGTCGAAACCGACTTTTTACCTAGGTTTCGAGCACTTCTTGTTGAAGTCTACAAAGTACTGCGCCTGCCAGGAAAAATGAGCCCGAAGCATCCGAAGTGCCGCACCTGCCACACGGAAGGATCATCAGGTCCAAGATCGAAAATGACGACAGTTTCACAAAACACGACTTTCGACCCTTTCAAAACGTCCTCCAAGTCCAAGTTCGCCAAATACTGCGCCTGCCACGCAAAATGACCTCCATAAGCACCTCTCATTCTGACCCACCCTGCTAACGTTTTAGCAAAGTCCAGAAAGCGCCAAGCCTGTCACGCGGATGAAAAGTGTCCGACGTCCTGTGCTTGTCGCACAAAACGACGTTCCAGACCTCAACATGTCCCGGATGTCTCACGCCTGCCGCACGAAATGGACATATCTCAAAAAGCGAGCACGGCCCGGCACGCTAGTTAAACGAGACCTTCGCAAAACGGGACGCTCACTTTGCGCGAGCCTGCGCAGTCGAAATGCACATGGACATGACAAGGGAACTTTTATGCGAGAATCTACCCGTGAAAAAGCCGGGGACCAAATGGAGCATCTCCTGATCTAACCCCAACCTTTACCACCTACTGTAAGAACCCCTCAGGGTGACAGTGTGGACACACTGTTTGTGGAACGAAAGCCGAAAAAGGCATGAACAGAAAGCAAAGGTCTTGGAGGACTCAAAAAGTAGGACACAACAGGTAATAAAATAACCAGCTGCCTGGCCTAGCTCGACAAACCTTGAGAAATGCCTCCTCCATCAACAACAAGCTGTCAAGCACACCGTGCGAATGACCTATCCATGCCAAATCTGCATCTACGCGCGGCTAACAGTTCCAAAAACATCTGCTGCGCAGCACAGAAACACTGGCTCTTTGTTTACTAGGTGCGGTTTCTTGCAAATAAGGCTGGCTCCCTGAACCCCAAGTAACTTCCCCCCATTTGAGCCAGTTTGAGCTCCTGCTTCTGCTCCTTTTGTTCTTTGGGTTCTTTTTCCTTGGGCTTTTCTTTTGGCTTCGGCTTGGCATCTTTCGTCTCCTTCGGCAACTCTTTGGCTGGCGGTGTGGCTGCAGGTGTGGCCGCAGATGTGGCAGTAGGTGTGGCGCCAGGTGTGGCCGCGGGTGTGGCCCCAGGTGTGGCCGCTGCAGTCCCTTCCTTTGGTGCCCCCTCTTTGGGTGCTTCCTTCGGTTTGGCCACACTCTTGGGAGCCGCCTTTTCCCTTGCCTCCTGCTTCACCCATGTCTTGCTGCATGCCTTTAGCTTCACAGCCAAGGAATTTGCCAAAGTCTTTAAGTCACTTGCTTTCTCTCGCTCGCGGACATTTTCCACACAATGAAGTACACCCTTTGCAAATTTCTCCGCGACAGGGCAGCTTTCACATGACTGGCTCAGAAGCAGCAAAGCGTTCCTCTTGTCTGTCCATTCCTCAGACTCCAAACTAATCTTCAAAGTTTTGTAGATTTTGCCCTCCCACTTGCTGTGAGCTCGCACAATTTCACTGTGCTTTGCAAACTCAACAGGGCCCTCCAACTGTGTCTCATCATAATGATGACGATGAAAGCATGGATTGTCCTTCATCTCTTGTTCATAGGTTTTCTCACTTTGCCGCAGGCTAAACACATACGACATCATTTCTCGAAGGATAATGCCACAAATCTGGGCCTCCCGCTCTGTGCAGCCACGCAAGTTCATACACAGCAGGAGTGTCCAACAGTTGAAGAAGTCCAGGAACAAAAATCCAGGTGTCTTCATGCGAATCAGAAGGCGAACAAACTTGCAGCAGAACATGGCATCTGCATAGGAGGTAAGTGCCCGAGGCATAAACATCTCCGCCACCAGTGCTTGAGTGGCCTCTTGGTCTTTCTTCAGAAACCATCCAGACTTCTCTAGCTCAAGTCGCGCCAAGACTTTCTCAAAGTTCAGCTTTTGCTGGAGATGTTCCTCCTTCACCTTGTCATACACCTCTTTTTGACGCACAATGTTCCTCTGCACAGTCTTGTAGTCCCGGCTGTGGTTATCAAAGTTGCGATTCCTCTCCATTCTGGCCTTGGTGTCCTCGAATTGCCTCTGACTATTCATCATCCGAGATAGGACTTTTTCGTAGCCATCTGTGGGGACGAAAATGTCCTGCAAGGACAGGCGCCAGAATGTGACGTAAAAGTCCATGGACAGCCCATCTTCCTCAGTTGACCTTGTCAAACATTGCTGGGCGACACCCAGCAGTTGCTTGTGCAGCTCAACCTCCTCCGGTGTAGAAACCAAACTAGCCTTGGCGTCGGCTTTGGATGCCCCACGTGCAAAGGGTGGCAGGCCGGGCCGCAGAGCTGCATAGGCCAATGGCGGTTCCAAGACACCAAAGATCTGCTGAAAGGGAGGCACCAATTTCATGTACTTCTCTCTGGCAGCAGCTTGTGAGATGAAATCGATGAGGCTCAAGAAGCAGTCTTGGCTCCCGTCAATCAATGCACAAAGCAGCTTCAGGGCGCCCTCACCACTGTTCACCTCAGAGAAACTCTCAGAGAGGAAGAACAAGCGTTGCTTGCTGAGGCAATCCCACAAGGCTGTAGCCAGGCCCAACTCAACAAGGCTATCCATCAAGGCTTTCCTTGTCTTCTCCTTGCGGAGAGGGTCTGGCCTTGCACCTACCGATACAGATTCCAAACGCAAACGTGGGCCACCCGCCAAACACAGCAGCTGCTCTGCCGTCAAGTCCTTCACAACGATGAGGCCTCCCATGTGCTCCATCAGCTTCTCTAAGACCACACGGATCAAGGATTCACCCTTGAACTTCTTGGACGATTGTCGACCACTGCCTGCACTGCCTGCACTGCCTGCACCTTCTGGAAGATCACTCATCATTCGTCGACATACAGCTGTGAGGATGCCCACCAGGTTGGTCTGCGGGTGCTTCTTGTAGAAGCGGCCGATGAATTCCGCAAAATTGCTGAGCCATGGTGAGAGAAAGCCATCGGCTGGATTCAGGAAGGTCCGTGTTTCCGAGGCGCCTCGCTCACAGTTCCGAGCCAGAACATAGCCCACCACGTCGGTCATCATGTCCGAGCAGCGGCCAGTGAGGTCAACATAGGGCTGGATCATGTTCACATTGAAGCCGATCTCAATGTCCTTCAGCATGACCTCCACAATTGGGATCGGATTTGTTTGGCAAAGCTGACAGAAGACAGGAGAGGGCTTGTATGCATTTGGATCATCTCGGTCTCGATCTGACTTGTCGCTGGAAACCACCCGCTTCAGGATCTTCTTTGCCTCAAACTTCGCTTCCTCATAGCTGTACTTCAGCATGAACTGACTATACCTTGTTTCCCAACAGCTGTAGATCATGTACCGCTGGAAGATTGTCAGTTGTCTCAGCACATTCCATGCCATGCTGCTCAACCAAGGGTTTGGTTTAGCAATGGAGATTGCTGGCAGCAGATGTTTGTAAATCATGGCCACAAGTCGATCATCCAAGATCTGATTTGAAGGAGCAGCACTGTGGGCGGAAGCAGCAATGACAGGACTAGGTCCCGGCGGATCCTTTAAGGACAACGCCATCACCTGCCAAAGGTTGCCCATGGCCACATTGTCGGTGTGCAAGTAGTACTCCAACTGGTCCAACACCTCACAAACGAACCCCAAAAAAGGATCAAGAAGGACCAACACTCAACAAACAAGTCAACACAAAAACGCAATTTAAATGCAGATTGGCAAATAAGGATCGGCAACAAGATTCAAACAAAGGAGTTTCAAGAGCATGGGACGAGCTGCAGTTTTGGCAAAAGTGTCTTTTTTCTCATTATGCGTTCTTGGTGGCCCCGCTTTCGTGTGGTCTGCACATGTCTGCACGTATGTCCCAGGTCAATCAGGATAACCCCCTTCTCTACTATGGTATGATCTGCTCTTTAGGGCCCTAACAAGCATCCCATTTAGATCCAATTAAGGGGTGGTATATTTGGATACGATATGATCGGATGATATTCCTTGATACCTAGATTGCCTAGCTCCCGCCTGCTTGGTAGCTGATGCAAAGTCGTTGATATCTGTGGCTTGCGGGAGGCACACAGGCACTGGTCCTTCGCTCCCTTGCAGCAGCAAACCCCAGGCAAAGCGCCTACTGGATTTGTATGGCGGGGAAGCTGTTTTCGGCAGCAACGGCTGGATGATCCACTTGAGCAAATCGCAGAGTGCAGATCTCAGATAGTGATTCATACATGGTCTGCAAATCCGCCTCATGATTGTCAGCATAATACAGGCATTCCGCCAGTCATTGATGCTGATCATTGCCTCCACCATACGGATCTTTTTGTTCAAGAGTTGGTTGAAGTTCTTCACGGAAGCACTGAAATAGCGTTTGTCTTTTGCTAAGTTGGATTTTCCAGAGAGGTCAACCACCGAGATGGTCTTCAGCTTTGCTTCATACTTTCTTTGGAGCAGGTGGTAGGCCTCCTGGATCTTCTTCTCACCAGGTTCCAAGTAAGACCAGAGAGTCCGAAGATCAATGACATTGATGGAGATCAACGAAGCTATGGCCATGAACTGCGAGAGTCTCGGCTCTGGATCAAACTTTCCATCTTTGGCGTCCTTGCCATCCTTGACATCCTTGGAGCCTGCAACAGGGGAAGCAATGCTCACGAGGAAAGCGGCTATCTTTGTGAGTCTCTCTCTGCTAAACCTCCGCAGCAGTGAGACCAATGCTTGTGGCCGTTTGCTCGGTTCTTCCTCTTCCATCATCAGCTTTTCGTAGATGTCGATGGCCATTGCAATGATGCGATTGGGACACAAGTAGCTGTGGCCAATGAGAAGCATGATATCTTCAATTATGCTCTCTCGAATCTTTGTCAGCTCATCGCTGTCACCTAGGACATCACAATCTAGGTGAATCAGCCTGTCCATGTACATGATGACTCGAGCATAGCCTTCGTTGTGTTCCCGCAGCAAGTTGAACCTTGTCACTGTGTAGCGAGCTTTGGTCTTTGCCTGGTTCTGCTTCTTCCGTAGAAGTGACATGTTGCAAACCGGAGGAGGGAGTGTTTCAGTTTCCAAGCCCGCGGCTAAAATGGGTTTGGAGACCACACCCTCTCGTTCCAAGAGGCAACAAAAGTTCGTGAACTCATCACGTGCTTCCTTGTTGCCTGGAACTTCAGTGGCTGCAAAGCCTCCCAGCCAGAGCACATCAACCAGAACTTGCTGCAAGGATTCCTTGGAAGAGATGGGCATGAGCAACTGCGCTGCATTTAGCGCAGGCATCTGCTGTTGCAGGACAGCAGTGACCACCTCCAGCAATTGGTCATAGATTCGCTCCCGCTCTCCCTCTCCATTGTCTATCTCCATGGCTCAAGGGTTGGTAAAGATTTGATAATTCAGAATTCTGAAGAATTGAGCATGTTGGAATGCACTGTGCCGTTTTTCCTATGGTTTTCTGTGAATATGGATTTGTCAGTGTCATATCCACATGTTTTGTTTCCACCAAGTCTCTTATCAATCATTATCATTCCTCTATGTCTGTAATTCATTACGGGCCAAGAACTGTCTACAATTGGCAAATCAATTGCCAGGCGTTGGTTCAGAATATGTTGATGAAGCCGGTGAAGCTTCCATTTTTCTAGGATATGAGATTCTTGTGATCCAATCTGGTTCAGGATTTTCTCCGTTAAAACAGCCATGAATTGGCTGACTGCACTAGCTGAAGGGCTAAGTTTCCATGTGCCCGCAAGTGAGCAAATAAGATAAGGCTTGAGACCTGCGAATTGAGGCAACGTGCGGGTTCTTCCGGACTCTGCAGCATGCTCAATTCAAGCAGCAAATTGAATGCACAATGCAGCACAGAAGGGCCCCTGTTTTTTCTGCAGACAGTGGAAGCTCCGCCTGTGAAATGAGCCCTGCCCCTCGCGCTAGCTTGGCCTATCTCACGGGACTTCAAAGCCTGGGAGGGAGAAGATTGACAACCTACATCTGGCATAGTGACTGCTTGAATTTGCAGAGAAAGAAAACATATTTGCACATGTAAAAAGCACTGACAGAGTGGCCAAAGGTGCGACAGTATGTATTTGTATGTAGTTTTTGTACAAATTTGTACATGTAAAGCATGCATATTGTATAGAAGGATAGGGAGACAAAAGAGATTGATATGAATACAGCCATGCCAAGCAAATTTGGTATCAATTTATCCTTGAGTTGCACGTATGTATATATGTTTTTCTATCACTATCTGTCTGCCTGCCTGTCTGTCTGTCTGCATAGATGGATAGATGGATAGATGGATAGATGGGTGCATGGATGGATGGATGGCATGCAAACACGCATGTGTATATATATATATATGTGTGTGTGTGCGTGTGTGTGTGTGTGTAACATCTGGGTAGATGTAAAACTTCCTTCTTTTTTCTTCCCTCTTCTCCCTTTTCAAATAATGCAGGGGGACACAGCATTTCACTGGGACTGTGTCCAACGAAGCTACCAGTGAAATGGGATATCCAGCTTGGCCAGCTGGACGTACCTGCATTTTTTCGTTGCAATTTTGACTGACATGGCACGCGGCCAAGCCTAGAACCGCATAGCTGTATTTTCACTTCACGGTTGTCGCAATCTGGTACTTAATTTCTGTTATCAACATGGCGATCCTTATTCTTTGGATCTGCACGTTACAGGATTCAGTTCCTGCCGGATCATATAATGATCCATTCTTATCTAGTGTGATTCCTATGGTGACTCCGACATGGTGCCATAGGGCCAATTGAGGCAACCCTGTTTGGGGTGAGTGTCGACTGACTTTAACTCCGAATTTACACATTTTAATCTGGTAATTCGTTTAAGTAAAGTGCAACAGCTGGCCTTGCCGTTTTGCGCCTTTTACGAAGTCCCGCGGCTCCTGTGGTCCCAGGGTCTCCTCGCCAACGCAGTTCTTCAACTTTGCAGCCGTGCCGAACATCCAGAAACCTCTTTTTTTTCGCAGCAGCTTTTACAGTTACATTTTACAAGAGACAGAGCGCAGGCAGGTACACGACTTTTAGGTGTGGCCTTCTTTCTTTTGATGGTTCTCTGGTGAGGTGAAACATATTGTGCACCTAATCCGCTGGAACTTGAAAGCCGTTTATGCCAATTGGGGCAAGACTTGACCACGGTCCCGGCAAGGGAATAACGCACGACATCTAGGTAGTTAGGAACTCAGTCCTGTCTTTAATTAATTGTTTTGGTTTTCTTGTCTGTCATCAACTAGTCCCCCATTTGGTCTCTAATTTTCCCCGCGTGCCTCTCCGTAATGTGTCGTGGGGTTTAGGTGTGTGCGCTGTTTTGGTCAGGTCCGTTTCGCCGTGTAGGTTGGTTCCGGAGGTCCGTCTGTCCCCCTCCCCCCCTGCGCTGTTTTTGGCCGTTTGCTCGTCGTGTGTCCGCTTTTTTCTTCCTCTTGCCTTTCAGGGTTTTCCCGGCTCTGCCGGGTGTGCGTGTGTGTAACATCTGGATAGATGTAAAACTTCCTTCTTTTTTCTTCCCTCTTCTCCCTTTTTAAATAATGCAGGGGGACACAGCATTTCACTGGGACTGTGTCCAACGAAGCTACCAGTGAAATGGGATATCCAGCTTGGCCAGCTGGACGTACCTGCATTTTTCGTTGCAATTTTGACTGACATGGCACGCGGCCAAGCCTAGAACCGCACAGCTGTATTTTCACTTCACGGTTGTCGCAATCTGGTACTTAATTTCTGTTATCAACATGGCGATCCTTATTTTTTGGATCTGCACGTTACAGGATTCAGTTCCTGCCGGATCACATAATGATCCATTCTTATCTAGTGTGTGTGTGTGTGTGAAATCCGCTATCACTCATGCGGACCTGGGTTTCTGTTAACAAGTTGATTCAAACAATCCATCAGATGCAGGGGCGTGCAGCACCTTTGGCATACTGCACGCAACGAAGCTATTGCCATTGGTGGGAAGGGGAGACTGATCACCTCCCTGTACCTGCAGAAGTTGGTTTTGAACTGTTGAACAAGCTGTCCATTTTCATGCGTATATGTTGCTAATTTGAGATTATCTCAGAAATCAGATTTTCCCACTGCTTTCCCTACTCGACTGACCAGGATTTTGGACCTAGGAACCCTCAAGGCATGAACTACTTCATCACTATAAAGTTCCTCATTCGAGTAATGTTACTCAGTAACATGCTCCCATCAGCAGTGTGTAACGGGCACAGTGTCACTGACTTGTGACTGCCGTCCGCGTGTTTGGTGACACGCGTTGAATCGGTACCGGCCTTCCGGAAGAATAGTGGGGTACTGCAATACCTCGAAATCTGACGGGTATTAATTCCCGTGTGAATTGGCTTCAGGCCGAAATACATGAATCAAATACAATGCAAGATTTCACAAGATTTGGAATACGTCACAAGACAGCAGCAAGCCGTATGGCTGGAATTCTGAAAGACAGACACGAATTTATTACATTCTACACGTTCGGGCAACTCAGATCTGTTCTGTCATCATTTAGTTCTTTTGTTTTTCACCTTTCCTCTGTATCTGTTTGAGCCATGTCGAAATCTGATATTCCAGCTGCAGTACCAAAGTCGCGATGTCCACCTAGTCCTACTCCTCCACCATCCTGGATCACACCTGTAAGTCGCCAAAGTCGTCCTACAGTTCTTGAATTTACGGGACAATGCGGACAATATCGAATTGAAGGATCCAACATTCAAGAGACACGGGACTTACTCCAGACTGTTCTTCATACGGAGTCTCAACATGTTCAACATGTTCAACACATGCAGTTTCAACAAATGTTGACTTTGTCACAAAATATGATGTTCTCCAATGCTCTTGGCATTCAACCCAGCTCATTTCGTGCACCAATTGTTGATCGTGATGATCGAATGGACGGATCGAACGTAGTTTCTGGATTGGGCTCTCATTCTGCACTGCCCTCAGACACTGTGGAACGTCAGAACCGTAGCTCTCAAGTTGCACTGCCCTTAGTCACTGATGATCGTCAAAATCAGATCACATCAAATGACCGAGTGGATCGAGTACGTCCCACTGTTACAGCTGATTTACCAAGCGATGGAACGGTCCGGGTGCCTCTGACTTCTGAATCAGATCAACGGGATCGAGTTCGGGCATCAATGTTTATAGACCAGCCGTCAGTCTCAGTTGCTCCCATTCCACGTTGGGGATTGTTCGTACATTGTTTACATGACCATCATGGACACAAGAAGACCTTCACTAGTGATCGAAGACTACCCGGACCTAGACCAAAGGTTACGACTCGCATTGGACGGCCTCCTTTGACTGTTGAAATTATTGAATTTTTACACCCTCAGAGTGATCAGATTTCTTTTTGGACGCTACCCACCACTGCCACATTTTGCTGTGATGGTATTACTTTAGAACAACCTGAGAAATCACCTTGGTGGTTCCTATATCAGTGCATGGGCCGCATTCGTGAAGAACTCTATCAAGATCCTTACCGTATCAAGAATGCATATGAAACTGGTGCACTCACTTTGGCAGTTGACAAATGGACGCCATCTTTGACATATTTTCAGCAACAATACTCTTTTCGAACTATTGACTCGATTGCGCTGTTAAAACAACAACTTATGACTGACCATATGCAGATCCTCAAAGATGAGTATTCCGCCAAGTTTGAAAAATTCTCTTTAATCATCCATTCCGCACTCGAAGTATTGATCTCTACTCTCCTTCTACATTCTGAAGTTTGGGCTTTCGTGGAGTGCATCGACTTACTCTTTGATCACCAGAATCAGTCTCTTGTGGCCATTGTCGCTCGCTTGGAACCAGTCGTTTTTACACAAGAACCAGAAATTCCTGCTGCAGAATACATATGTTACGCACACAACACGAATCCACAATCTGCTGCAGACAGTTTGTTCCATGGGTATATCAGACCATCATCCACTGACCCACAAGACGAAACATGGATCCCGGCATTGACCTTTTTCTGTCGTGGCGTTACTGTGGCAAGACCTGTTATGACCAGATCAGTGATGCTCACAACCTTGAGAAAGGCACAGAAATATTCCAATTTTACCACTGATCGTCCTACATGTTTGCTCGGTATGTCTAAATCAAGACAACCACATGTGACCAACGTTCTCGGCGGTGTTATTGGAGAACATGCTTGTACACACTATTTTGACAGTGTACATGGACGTGACAAACGTTGGGGTCTTCGTTCTCATTTGAGTCCGCTTAGCCATTTAGCTTGTATCATCCCATCATCATGATCAATGATCATGGAAGTCACACAATTTTGTTGCGCTCCATAGATTAAAAGCTGCGCTCTGTTGTATCACTTTTTGAGCGGTTTCATTTATCAAGCCA